TTAATTGTTATAGTGTTTTCCCTAACCCTAATCCTGAGTGAGAATTTGTTTGTTTGATAGCCTGAAAATACAAACATTATAAATCATGTACACAACATTGAACTCTTTATGAAGCATGTCATAATGTCAAAATTAGTCAAATAATACATTTTTATAAAGGGGGAAATAGAAACTAGTTTAACTGAGAATACTTCACAGCCTCTTTAATCATATCATATCATATCCCCGTGTTCAGGTATGACCGATACATGTGAAAGTGGGTTCAGCACATCAGTGCAATCATGTTGATTTCATTATCATGCATTTAACACAGAAGAGCTATTGATTCCTCTATTGTGTTTGATGTAGATTTAGCATTACGTGTCAAATGATCAAAGCACCGAACCTACTCATGAATGCATGAACAAAGACACCAAATCAATAGCTGACAGGTCAATAATTCTGAGCGAGGCTTGCAGAAGACATGATATTTATGTAGCCCCAATCAAATCACGTTGTATCCAATGTAGAAACAGAACATGAGAAAAAAATGTCGGAGGATTGGTAGGAATGCAGATATTTTACAGTGTTGATAGCTGCATGAATGTGAGGATTTAGAAGTGGCATGACCTGTTGTACACGATTTGAGCAAAGGCTGATCATTATCACATTTCAGCTAAATCCATGAGAAGTGTCCGTCGGTAAATCTTTTCCACAGTATTTTTCCAGACACATCATAATTTTTTTGCCCTGGTATCAATGACGTCTTGTCCTTTGACAGCGTCAGAGTCAAGCAGACTATTTTGAGACGGGGCTGCGCAACACACTGCCTTTACCCCCGATCACCCTGCTCTTTCAGGAGGTTTAGCAGGGTCCTCTGCCCTGCTGGTGTTGGCATTTAAGGACCACATGAATCAATGAGACAAGCTGCAATGGAGGGATGGTTAAGTTTCATTGCACAGTTTACATTTGGCTCCCCTGCTGCTACACACTGAGGGGTTGCAGGGTTTTTAAGCTTGTAAATATCAGACTACAATCTTTTTTTCTGTTAACTACGTAAACATTTTATGAAGTAAGGAAAATGTTGCCAACATGACATTGAAAAGAAAACTGATGCCCCTCTGCATAATCTGGGTATTGTAATTCGATCATGAGCAACTCAATTTGATAAGATTTTGGTCCGACTAGCATTTTTACCTGCATCTTATAAGTGCAGTTTCAGTCGGACTAACTGTATAAATTGACTTTTTAAACAACATGGAAACATACTGACAAGCAGTGACATTTACACCAGTGGATTTTTTCGTGTGTGTGTGAAAGAGTGTGTGATGGAGAAGGCCAGGGATTGATTAGAGCTTTCACTCTCAATGTGGTTAATTGCCCAGTGAGGCTTAGCAGACGGTGCTGGCTAGATTGATGTCCGATAGCCAAGTAGGGAGAGGGGGGGACTGGGGTGTGTTTGTGTATGTGTTTGATGGGGGGAGGGGGCGCTTCGAGGGTGGGGTGGGGGGGTCTTCATTTATTGGGCAGCATTGAGCATTGGTTGGGGGGAACAAGGCATCCCAAATTAATGTTGAAAGATTGAATGGTTAAATATTGCAGGCTGTGGAAGTAAACCCAGAGGAGCTTCCTCCAAGAGGAAAAAAAGGGAACCAAGTGTTTGCAACCAGAACTGCTGAAATTCAAAGAAATTAAGCTAAAAAATGACTCCAGCTTGTCTGTTTTTTGGTTTTGCTATAATGAAAAGTGTTTGTTTGTTTGTTACAAAACCCTCTTTGAGTTTAGCACCAACCTGACCTTATATTTTCATCGCTGTTTCTCTCAAAACAGTTGTTAAACTCTAGTGCTTGATCAAGTTCTTATCCCCTCTAATCTCTTTTCTATTTTGACCAAATTTGCCAGAATCAGCACAACTTTAATCTTGCAGTTTGAAGTTTCTGGAGGTTCAAATGTTTCTATAAATGTTGGCACTATTCCTCGCACGTGAAACAGTATGTGCCTCACCTTATCTTTTATTCTCCCTTTGGTTATTATCTGAGGTGATATAAAACCAGGTTTATGATTTAATAAGGGGATAGATGTGTGTTTGTAGGGAGGTTTTGAATGAACGCTCCGAGGATGAGAACACAGACAGTAACAAGCGAGACACAGAGTTGCCAGGAGGCTGGGTGGATAAGGAAGTAGTAAAGTCAGGGCTTATACAGTCCGCAGTTTAGACTCTCTTTACACACCGGCTGTAAAAACAGAAGTCATCTGAGCACAAGCAATACTATGTACCATAATGAACAGACAGAGAGAAATTTGCAGTGTCAAAACTGCTCAAATTTGAATCTCTTAAAATTTTTTGTTTTTCCACAGCCTCCCTTTTTACTGTTCAGGGACTCGTCAAGATCACAAACACAATTTATTTTCAACAACCCTCCCCTGACATACAGATGCACACCTCCCCTCCTAAAGGGACTTGAGAGTCCCCACTTTACCACCATGGATAATTGGACACCTTCAGCTCTAGAAATCCCCCACAGAAACAAAACAGGCACCATGAGGACTCGTCCTGTTTGTCAAACAGAAGCCAAACAGTGAGGATGAGGCACAGGCAGAGGCTCGAGTGAACCTTACAAGCTACATTGTAAAAGCTCCCCTCGGTGCTTTTTCCTTCTGATTCAATTCACACATCTAACATCTCACTTCCTGGTCTGCGGTTGCTGTGGTGGGGCACGCAAGGATCAACAGGAGGAATATCCGCACCCTCAGGGCTCCTGGGAGAGGTAGTCCTCAGGGCATGTTTCTAGGATCAGCGTAGTTTTCCCTGTGCCCTAAGTTGACCCATCTGGAAGCTAAATGCAAAAGATCAGAGCCTGGGGATGACTCGCCCTTGTATCTGCCTCCAAGGCTGTTGTTGTGTTTCACTAATGAGGCGGAGCTCTTGAAGCTCACCTGGTAACCACAAACCCCTAATGAGTGTAACCTGGTGAAGAGGGTGCGTATCTAATGGTGGGTCTTATATACTCCAAGGCCTTAGATATACATGGTATTGACTGTGTGTGGACATGAATGCAAGATAGTTACCACCAACATTGGTTTGCATCGTTCTTTGTGCATGTCCTCAAAAAATTTATTTGATGAGGGTGCAAGATAAAGTAGAGACAACATATCCGTACTGTTCAACTTCAGGCTCAGAGCCCAAATCTACATTTTTTTAACTGCATGTCAACATACAGACTCACCAGGATGCCTGTTAACATCATTCAATCTAGCCAGTTGCTTACAGCCTTAACTCTCTGACCTTGATAGAGGTATCCTCCAGTGTATAGTTAGTTATCATCACAGTTCTGCTCATAGTGGGCGATATAAAGTGACAAAAGCCTCTAGTTTCATACAGTGTTGTCCAAATATGGCCACTTCTATACAGCCAAAAACCAATACGGCCAGATGTAAGCATTCTAAAGGGAGTCAGAAGACCAGTTGTTGCTTTAACAATGGCCGCTTCCTGTCTTTTATGCATCTTATGATACTAAAGAAGTGCAAAAAAACCATTGATTTTCTACTGTTGATAGTAACTGAAACAAGCAGGCAAATTCAATATGGCAAAAAGAACTAATCCTTCTAGTTGTAATGACAGGGTTGCCATGCGGCCTCCACTAATGGACACTTTTTTCCAACTGTATTAATTTCACCGTAATTCCAGTCTGCCCATTTTGTTTGATATCATTCAACACCATTGTTCCCCTTTCTCACCTGAAACCAGTCTGGACTGGAGTGCGCTGTGGATGAGTGGCGAAGCATGAATCACTCATGGGGAACAAGCGGCGTTGCCAGGTCTCTTGTGTGTATCTAGCCACACAAAGATTAACAGCATTCACCCACAAAGCTTCTACAGCTCAGGAGTGACTGGCTGACTCATGTGGGTCAAGACCTGCCACAGGTGGGGGATCGCGGGCTGAATAACCACCCCCTACAGTAGGCCAGCACAGCTTCTGCACCCCTTTTCACCCAACTGGGACACCTGCACCGGACACAAAAGCCATCCCTCTCCGATTCTTTGAGCGCAGAAACACGGGGAGGAAAAGGACTTGGGGAAGAGCTGAGAGTGGAAGAAAGAAACGGGGATGGATGGGCCGTGGTGGGGGCTGCCTCAGTCGTGGCCATGCGGAAACAAAGTAACACAAACTCAAGCCACAGCAGGGGAACAGCTGGAGCACACGGGGGAAGAGCAGTCTGGGTGGTCTGAGAGCGAGAGAAAGAGAAAGAGAGGGGTGTGAGATGGAGGAGACATGAGCGTGAATGAAAGAAACGGACAGAGATGTTGGAAATTGAGGCTGTTTAAGAGAGGCAGTATGGAGAAAGAAGATGAGAAAACACGAAGAGAGGAGAAAAAGCTGCTACTTATGGGTTTTTCCTTTATCCCTGCAATTATGGTAAATCGATACACGTCAATATTTAATTATTCAAAGAAGCTCTTCCATGTTTAGGCCCATTAGAGGCAGAGGCGCCCTTCATTGTACAAGAGAGACCACTATTGTGCAGAAATAAATTACTGTAAATTTGAAATCCATTTAAACAACAGCTTAAGATGGGATTATAATTACTTTAAGTATACTTTCTTTATTTTGCTCAGTGAGAACTGAGTAATTACAAACCCTACCCACACATCCTGTATTTAAGTAAACAGAGAGTTTGATAATCAAACAATTTCACACCCTCTCTACCTTTACCACTATCCATTTTAAAGGTGTTTTAATCCAGCTGCTCTTATCAGGAATATTTAATAATCCTTTGGCATTACTTAAATTGGAGTGTTGGTTATTGGAAGAGCATTTGATAACCCTCAGAACAAAAGAGAGCCATTCGCATGCACCCAGTGAGCCAATATATCCCTGTGCTTTTCCATACACGGCTTATCACACCAGCATGGTTTGCATGATAAAAAAAAAAGAAGGTAAGTCATGCGGGAGGTCCTGCTCATTTGCATCTCCCCTGGGTGCACGGTGTAATTTAGCTACATATGTCCCGTCCCTAATAGGCTGGAGTTGGCTTAACGCGGGGCTTGTGTTTTTGGAGGCGACCTCGCTTGATTGTCTATTCGGATTCGTGGCTCGACTCTGATTTGCAATTGAAAGGCACGTAATTGTACTTGAACTAACTGAATAACTATAGGTTTCTTAAAGAGAGTAAGTGAGGGAGAAAGGTGTTTTTAACAAGCTGGAGTCAGTGCAATCTTCTCCATGGTGTATCGCTCTCAAAGCCATATCTCTCCCTGTGTACAGTACGCGTGTGGAAAATAGTGAAAAACGACAGAAAGAGGAAAAAAAGGCCGTGAAGTTAGCAACATTGCTTACATATGCTAACCCCTCCAGTTCAGCTAGTAACACATTCCACTGAATTTGTAATACTGCTAATCAGTCTCCATGTTTCCCATGGTAATACATAATATCTCTGACTCCAACAAATGGAAATATATTCATGATATGCATTCACTTATTCTGCACTAAGTTTGACATTCTCCTTCTGAATCCACAGAGATTCAGGAAACATTAGCAGGGTTGATACATCACCCACCAGAAGCCACTGTAAATCGAGGACCTGCGTTGTTCCTGGTTATAGCCCGCTGCTTATCTCTCATATTTGCCTAGGGTAATTTGCCTCTCAAATGCTCTGCTGTAAGACGTCAAAGCTGCATATATCTTAAAATGCATATTCCACTCATGCAGGGAAGTCTCATGTGTTTTAATCCCAACTTGTTATCCACGACATCAAACCCAATTTATCCAGATTTAACATCAATTTTCAGTTCAACAGAGAGGAAAAGCACCATGAATTAATGTTATTTTTTTAATCTTTCTAAATAATAACCCAGCCACGGCTGCAAAAACACTTAGCACTTTCCTCGCTCCCTGATATTAAACAAGATTAGGATAGCTAAAAGGTTAATGAGATTCCCTTCTTTTGAACAAACTGTGCCTTATTTCTCCCTTTCCCAGGAAGCCGTAAACATTCTCCCTGTAATAACGGATGGTGATTATGCCGATGATATTAATTATCATTACTTTCAATTACTACACCCAGCCAGGCCCTGTCGGTTATGAGGGCAGCTCCCTGTGGAGGAGCCGCCACCCGCCGCCGAACATTCATTAGCTGTGCCGAGTGATTGTGTGACTCTCTTTACCCCTCCTTCTCTATCGCCGTCTTTCTTCTTCTCTCTCTTCCTTATGTGGCAGCCTTTGTTTCATCCTCTCTATTTTTCTCTGTCCTTTTTCATTCTCAAGCCAGTGTCAATGAGCCCAGGAAGCTCCACATACTGGTGAGGGTAGGCCAACGAATGAATGAGGTGAGGTGGAAGTTAATTGTGAAGAGATCTGAGATGAGCTGTGAGGGAATCCATGGCACAGATTGTACAGATTCCTCAATCTCTCCCTCCTCCCCCACCTCCTCCTCCTCCTTCTTATTCTTCCCTTTCTTTCCCATCACATGTCCTCACTTTAGCTCTTGTCACCCTTCCCTCGCTCAGTCTTGGTGCTTTGTCTCTCCCCTTCCCACTCTCGCTTTACTCCTGACATGAAACATCCATTTCTGCCCCATGAAATATGAAGAGGGCCCTCATGAATTGTTTACAGGTTAGCAGCATGCATGCCAACGGCAGCAGGGGGACAGGCTCAGGTTTTCAAGCGGCTGCAGCGGGCAATCGGTGTAGATGACTGGGCCCCATTTAAAAATGCTTATAAAGCTGTGAGGTCTGGTAATTATAGCCAGTTGCCTAATGTGGGGCAGACCTGTGGAACGGAATAGTCCCAAATAGGTTGTCACACATCAAAACAGTCATATTTTTAAATTCTCAGACTGTACACAAACTGTGCCAGAATTAATTTAAGCTTGACTTAGTTTTAAGTTTAACCAACTTTCTCAAAGTCACATCAAGTAACTTTTTTGTTGCTGTGAGAGGAATGGTGTCAGACCAGATGATTAAAAACAGGCTGAACAACTTCCTTTTTTTTTACTTGTACTCACATTTAGGGATGAATTTCATTGATGAAAGACAACAGAATGAGGGTTTTTTCTAACAACACAACTTTCACATGTATATAACAATACATTACAGGTATCTTTTTAACAACTGGAGGCACCAATACTACTCCTTTGGTCACTTTTCACTTAATTTTTTGGAGGACCTTGAAGATTAATTGTTATATTTTCTGTGTGTGTTTCCTATAGCAAATTTCCATGTTGCACTGTTGACTGGAACAAGTCTTAGGTCTACATACTCTACATGAATTGCGGTTCTGCAGCAAGGCAGTATAGATGTGGTTATCCACTCAAAAGGTGAAAGTTAGCATTCGTTAGAAGACAGAATTTTTCCGTTTGATTTCCTTTTGAATTGAGTGACTAAACTTCTTAAATATAACACTATTTAGGGAAAGGGATCTAAATAGCGTATGTTTTTGCTTCTATAACAACGCTACCACTTTGCGTTTGTACTGACACATTCAGTACGTTGACACACCCCAAAGTTCTCACAACGGGTTTCAAGCTGAAAGTTGAATAGCACTACCGAGTTGCTTAGAAACTGGGTAGTAAACAAAACCTTGACAGAGGAAGAATTGACTGATTCGTTGTTTTACATCCTGTTAGCTTCTTGCTTACATGTTTGCCGATTGTTTTGATGCATAATAGGTCAACCGGGAGATGACCTATTAAGACGACCCATTGGTAAAGAGTTGGAGGGGTGCATGTCGCCGCCTATTGTACCGGAGGTGGACATGCTTCTGTCAATCATTCGATTTTTGCTTGGTGCTTGTAAACTGGAAAGTAGTCCAGTTAATACCCCTATGCGAGCTACGACAAGTCTGATTTCACACTGCGTTTCAGTGCTCTGGCATGTGTTGAAACATATAGCGAGAGCATTTCACACACACCTATGCACACACTAGGGCTGCCAAGATTAGTCAACTAGTCACGATGGGTTGTTTATCTTGATGAAAATCTTGATGTCAAAATGAAGCTTTGTTTTTCTCTCAAAACTGCCACTGAACCTTCCGCTGTCTTGTCTTACTCGTCTCTTTCTGTCCTTAACGCATATGCGCTGTAGTGATAACCCAGGACACACCGGAAATGTTATGTCCAAACAGAATCATGGCTAGCCGGCAACAGAGCTCAAAAGTTTGGGAGCATTTTTCCAAAATAAAAGAGAAACATGAGCGATGCAAAATCTGCAAGATAGAACTTCCCCTCCATGGCAGCGCGATGACGATATACAAGCATCTGAAAAGGAAGCACGTCGTACCCGATTTAGTTTCTGAGGAAGAGGGACAGTCGTCTCAGTAAGCTAATCTGCTGTTTGGCTGCTAACATCGACGTCAACAGTGAGCTTCTTAAAGTCAACATTAACGATGAGGATTTCATTAAACTTTGCACATACCTTAAACACTTTCAGCTGGAAGCTAATGATGATTATTTTAGAGCTGCTGCATTCTGGTGCAATGAACTGCAATTTAAGTATGATCCGATTAGTCGACTAATCGCAAAAATAATCAGTGATTAGTTGATTATCAAAATAATCGTTAGTGGCAGCCCTAGTCCATACACACACACACGCGGGGTGGTTCTGCCCTGACCGCTCCCTCCTCCCTATTATGTCCATATTTTTACCTCTAGAGATGAACCAAAGAGCATTTTAAGGTTGTGCATTGAAACAGTACACTAAAATAGTCGTCTCCTGCATGTCCCAGAAGAATCTGAAGTACAGTAAGACGAAGACCTGGTGCTCTAATGTGCTTAGTTCAGCAGTTCAGGATACTTACTGGGTTTGGTCTCTCTGGACAAAACATGGCCTGTTGAGTTGGTTAATTTCCTCCTGATGAGTTTGTAGATCACGTCAGCGTTGTGCCACGGGGATACGAGGGCTGGATGTAGAGGCATCAATTAAGACGTTCTTCTATAAGGGTTTTATCAGCTGTGGCTTTTTTTCCTGGGGCCTAATAGCTTGTGATTGATAGTGATGAACTTGAGCAGGAGGGGTGTGCATTTCAGATGGACAGATAGAGCATTTTGAGGGTGTGCTGACTAAAGTGCCTCACTGCAACATGTGCACTTGTGGTTCTAATGGAGTGCTTTGGAGCCACACCACTCGAGAGATTGTGGGGATATATTATTCATCTGTTCTCTGTGCCATTGCCGCACAGCACTGAAACACCGACCTGGTAGAGAGAATACTGCCATGGCGCCATCATCCCCTTATCTGTCTCCTTTTCTCTGTCTCCTTCACTCCCTCTCAGCCTCCATCTCCTCCCCTGTCTATGTCACTCAACCTCTTCCTCTGAGGAAAGGAGCTCGAGCCAAAGGAAGAGACGATCAGATCAATATTCCTCTCAGGAAATAAGCTTCCTCTCCCTGCTCCTGCCTCCTCCTGTCTTCTGTACTGCCAGCTTGCCTGACCACATCATCGGTGTATCATGGCCAATTTCACAAGCAAGCCCGATAAGCAGCCGTACTCAACATGTCAGTGACTGTGTGACAAGCTCGACACACAGTTCCCATATAATGTGAGGTGGAAAGCGATACAGAAAACAGGAGTTGTGGATGACAAAGAGAGAGAGAGCGTGGACTTCAGTTTGTCAATGTCATGACTAAGTCATTTCAGAGCCAACAGTGCAAACAAAATGTCCTCACACATTTAACGCAAGGAGTGTTCGGTGATCCATTCCTGTGACGTTCTCATCCAGATAGATAAGGGGGAAAAAACGTTTTTTTATACTTTTCAATTCATTCCATATATTAAAAAACAGAGTTTGCATAAGAAAACTCGGCATCTATCCCACAGGTTTGTCCTCATATCAATGGCCTACAAAGACGACCAGCTCTTAATATCTGTTTCTGCAGCTCAAATTAACTGCCTCAGACTCATTTTGTATTTTATTTTAGTTTGCTCTCATTTATTTTTGTAGATAACGTACAGCAAACCATGAAACCATGACTGATGAATTCAAGAGTATCGAAACAACATTATTTTGAACAACACTTTGTGAAATGGTATAAACTAGTCCATCATGGATTATAACGTTTGTGGACCTAATGTTTCTGCCGACCTTGTATAAAGATTGAAGACAAAAAAATCGACCTTGCTTGGAGCCAGTTGAACAGGATGAACCTCGGATTCCAAAGTACAAAATGTGTGGGCATACTGGTTTGTAAAACTTCAGTGCTTTTCTATCGGCCGTGTTTTAGGCTCATTTACACACAGTGTAAGTTACTTCTTGTCCAAAGCTTCTTAGGTGGTTTTGAAGTTAGAAGAAAATCAGGTTTGAGTGGATTGAGGTAGATTATTATGGTAGGTTAACATGTGTTCATACAGTTGAGTCAATATTTATGACCAGAAATCTTTCTGTGTGGGGGGATCGAGCATGTTGAACATTATCAGGAAGTGGACTAAAGAAGGAAACTCAACAAATGCAACCATAGCAATGATAGTAAAAGCAGAGCTTAAACTCAAATGGATGAACTTGATATGGAATCCATTGGTTGCTACATGGCTATTTCAACGTAAGTACCAGGAAGCTTAGCGGTTAGCAATAGTTCCCTCTGTAGGCTGCCATGTTAATTTCCTCTAAATTCATGTTCATCTAAAAGAGACTTTACAAGTTTTCCAGCTATGAGAGTCGGGATCCCAGCTGCTTCTTCTGTTGCTCTTTTTATGTGTGATATACTCAAGGGTGACAGTAGGATAAGGTTCTTGCAGGTACTGTCCCCGCAGGCTTTGTACAAGAGGAGCACACCCAAGTTTAACGAGGTGCAGACTCTGATGCCACAGTAGCATCATGTGCTGCATCTCTCTTTCTCTTAAACATAAAATCATTTCTCTGCATTTTGTTTTATTTCTGCATTAAGATTGAAACAGCTATCTCTTTAAGAATTCCCTCCTTCCGCAAAAGGTGGGAGGCGGTCCCCAGTGCCTAGGCAAGCAGCGTCCAATCAAAAGTGCGCACTGAGCACTCCCACTTCTGGAGTTTGTTTGTTTGCAGAAGCAAATAAAACTCATTCGCAAGCAACATGGTCCTATTGGATTACTACGGTTACAATGTAGAGTGCAGACTGACGTGCGGCAATACGATAAGCAAATGTAGCTGACATACACTGCAGGGGTGAAAGTTTGCGTACCGCTGCGTACTGGCTTACTGTCATCCCTGGATATACTGTGTTCACCACATTACTGCACACACACTTGAACAAAACTGTTTGTTATCCAGTGTGGGGTCTCGGATGTTTTCAAAATCAGGTTAGATTTCAGAGGCTTACCATGAGTTGTCTGCTTTAAGGTTGGTCATAGTGGTTGTGTATGGCATCAAGCTCTTGCTCCTGAGGGAGGAGGACAGCCCATGAGAAGTATTTGCATCACAGCCTGTAAAAGTTATGCAAAGTAACCGGCTCGAGTTGTTATTTCTAGTGAGGTGACTGTAGCAGATATTTTCTATGAAAGCAAGTTAAGCCATCAACCAGAAAGAGAGCAGAGTGCAGGCATTTAATGTGGAAGTTCAACTAAAAAAATGTATCACATTATACTTGAAGCATCCTTTTTCAGTCATCCACAATAACTCGAACAAGAAAAACAAGAAAAAGGATAAAAGCAAATAAGAAAGAACAAGATCAGACATGAAGGCTGAGCTGCAGTGCTTTGCAGGCATTGTGCTTCTTTCCCTCCAGAATGCTCGAACATTTTTAAACACATCTCACCGGCTGTGACCATTGTCTGATTACAATCACATTTTTTCCACGTCTGCCAAAATGCCTGATGTCACATTGCGCTGTGAATTCTCCCTCCGCTCTAAATCTCCTCTCTGGCTGCAGAGCTGTTTTCACATTCCAAGGTAAGTAATAATTTACTGTCAAGAACTGTTCTGTGTTTTGACTGTTGAGGCGATGAAGCTGTAACCACAAATTGTGTCAGCTGAAACAACCATGCGGATGTCGGGGCCGGTAATGGCTCGTAAACTGCATTAGGATTAGATCATGGAGGCACGTCGTTTGTCAGATGTTTGCGGTGGAAGGTCGGAGGGAAAAAACCAAAGTGATCACTGAGAATCTATGTTGCAGATGATTTCCCACACAGGGGTTGTTCCTCTTACACTGCTTAGTGTGTCTGTGTGTGTGTGTGTGTAAATAGAGGAGTGAAAGAAAAGGAAGAGATTGTGTGTAACAACAGGAAAAGTGGGTGGTGTGGCAGAAACTGTATTTGTGTGTCTGTGTGAGCGCAGATAGGGAAGTTTCCATCTCAGCCTTCTGTTCTGGACCTGCTACCTAGAGATTAGCTTCCCCAACAGAGGGGTGTGGCTGTGTCGTTGACCGCTGTCCAATCAGGCGTGACCTTGAAATGACAAGCGGCCAACCAGCACGCCCAGATCTCACCGGTCTGCCAAAGGGGCGTCACATGATGGGACCAACTGTCACCACACATGGTCTCTTTCTCTCCCAAATCTGTCTGTTTGTGCCGAGGAAACAATCCCTCCATTTATCCTTGTTATCTGAGGAGGAAACATTTCTCTTTTTTTTTGCACTCTACTTTGGATGGCAGTCAAACCTGCCATCCTCCTGTTGGGAAATACACTTTAAGTCATTCCTCTTTGCTTTCCTGCTTACAAGTTAAGGATACAACATTTTGTTTGGAGAGTTAAGAGCTTCAATCCAAACTCCCCTGATGGCATTGAGTCTTGCCAGAACTCTCCTGTGACTTCTTCCCTTTCCAACAGTCTGGTCAGAGAAAAGAAAGAAACATTAAAGTAAGAGGCCTTCCCATTCCCTCTCTCTCTCTCTCTTTCTTTCTTTTTATCCTCAAAATTGAGAACACTTGGTGTTCCTCACAAAGGATTTTCCACAGGTGCACAAACATTATCACTTTCTTTTCTCCCCCCGCCTGCATGGACCAGACTGATGACTTGTTTTCTCTGTATCTACAGCACCTGGCCATTTTCAGCTTCATTTGATTCTAAATACAGAGATTCTGCTGTGGATATTCACACCACATTAACTCTCTTAGGGACAACAAACAGCTTGTTTGCTTTGGACATAAAGGAAAGGGCATCTTGGCTGCAGTTGGATCACTTCAAATAAAATTATTGCTATTCAAGGCAAACTTTTGTTGTAAGCAACAAAAGGTCTATTTCACAGCCTCCTGCTCTTTGTTTATTTGACTTTCATCCTTACAAAGGTTTAGATTGTTGCCTTGTGAGATTATATTTATTTCTTGCACCCTGCGTGAGACGAATGTACACAAAGCAGATAAGAAAACAGTTTAAAAGGTAAAAACAACGTTTTTTAGTAAGTTTTACATGATGGGAACGTGCACAATAACCCTCATCCAAATCCCTCATAGTGTCCGTCACATGTCTGAACTTGCACACTGGATTACATATGCTTAATGTTTGATTTGCTCAAGGTACACCAGCAAGCAGGGCCCTCAGGCTTTAGGAAAAAACTCGATCTCTGTGTCTTGCTCTGCGTGTCCCTCTGGAAATGATTAGTGCTGTCGGGGCAGCCTGGAACCATTACTGATGTACACTGATGAAGTCCCATTTGTTTGAAGTGCAGGCACTCCATCGAAGCTCTCCTGCGCGCACGCATGTGTGTGAGTGCGTGCACGATCCTACATCTGTCCGTCCGTGTGTAAAATCTCCTTCCCTTTCTCCCTCAGCCAAGCCCGCACCACTAAAAACTCATCGCAGAGAGGAACTGGAAATAAACTGGTGAGGAAACCCGATCCCTTTGAAGTGTTCGGCTTGCAGTTCAAACCGTTGCCGGTCATCAAATATATGTCATCAATCCCCAATTTAGGTATAAAACACTTCCCTTCATTCTATTGTTGTGAGGTCTTCATGCTTTGACAAGATAACACAACAGCTTTTTCCTGTCCCTGACATTATTTTAGCCTTACAGAGTCAGAGCAGAGGAGAGTAAGTTCAATGTCTCGACACGTGTTCTCGGCTTTGGGACAAATGATCCCAATCTGCAGTCTAATGTTCAAGTGTTGATGTGATTGGGAGCGACTGCTCTTTCAAACAATGGGCTGAGGGCTTTAAGTCTGTTTTAGGTTTTTGGCTGCTGGGTGAAAAACAGTTCAAACACAGCTGGTCTTTTGGACTTTTACTGCAGATTAAATGTGGATATGTGAGGATAAAAGATCATTTGGTATAATCCTTTTAACACTTGCAATATATTTCTCTTTGGGTTATTTTACGTTTGATTAAGCTGTTTTTTTTTTTTTTGTTTGTTTTTAGTTTTCATAGACTGTATATAGAATGGACGCCGTCTGCCTCCTCGCTGGTTGAAGTCACCCCAAGAACAGCACCCTCTGGTGACAGGCTGCAGTATAGGTCATAAATCCCGCCTCTCCCAGCAAAGCGTATGGGGCTGTGGACAAACTTTAGAAATTTATTACACAGAATATTTTTTTTTCCCCACTGCTTGCATTCTTGTAAGACTGGTTTGTGCTCAAATCCTCTTTTTTCTGTGCAGCTCCGTTTTTAAAAGTTATTAGGGGGTTCATGTTTTCTATGATTGACACTTGATACAGCCTATGGGTGTACGAAGATTGCGTAGCTCACCCGAGGGATACGCTGTTTGAGCCGAGCGTCATCACAGTGACTCTCAGCAACTCTCCTGCTGAATGCGTACAATGCTACTGCGCAAAAAACGTGGAATTAGTGAGAGCTTTCTGGCTTCAAATCTGTATACTGGCAGAAGGCGGAACCAAGTTGTCCATAGTATATACTGTCTATGACAGTTTTTTACACTAAGAAAAATCAACATGCTGAGAAAACGTCAAATATGAGGGAAAAAAAGCCTTAGCATCATTGTTAAAAGAAGTCTAAATTCATGTTTGGGGAAAAAGTTAAAACACAATTTCAAGAATTTTTCATAAAAAAGTTTTTGGGTCAAAACTACAACAGCGATATACATGTTAGAAAGAGAGGTAGAGATGGCTTGAGTGGATCAAACATATGATCCTAGAGCACAGAAAAGGTAGGGTGACCATATTCTGACTTCTGCAAAAAGAGGACATGACTACGTGGGGGCGGAGTCACAGAGTCAAATGAAGTTAATTTTGCAAGTTTTTCAGGTCAGATCGAGTTTCTTTTATGCACCTCTAACTCAGTAAGTCCACACGACACAAAATAGAAACTTGCATACAAAACCGCGGACATTTGAAGGAATTTATAAACTTCCCCAGACAAACTCGGACGGCCCCCCAAAAAGAGGACATGTCCGGGTTAAAGAGGACGTATGGTCACCCTAAGAAAAGGTATGAAATAACAAGGGCAAACAAACAAAAATGTGAGGGTGTGATAATCAGCCTCACCTGGTCCAGAGAGTTTTAGGTCCAAGAGCTGTCTGCAGTAGGGAGAGGTATTTGGATGGGGAACTGCTGCCCTGTTGCCTAGTTTGGTTTCGTTATAATAAATCCCATGTTGAATGTTTTAAGGGTTTCTTTTTGTGGCTTTAATGGGTGGGAATTAGATTAAATTACAATTCTGAGTACATGTGAACTGGCAGAACACAACAGGATCATTTTCCACTGTGACGTTCAAGTGTGAAAGGTGATTGTTGAAAATATCAGATCCTGAATGTCCTTAAAGTGATTTAGATGTCAGGAGTTCATGCATTGACATGTTTTGGCCAGATGAACTTGCTCTTACGAGTTTTTGAAACTATTATATTCCCTTTTCAAACGCTGAAAATTTGCCCAGCAGTCCAACCCTGATCACATTTCTTTCACACGCCAAATCAAATCAGTGTATATGAAATTAAATCAGTTTTTTTTTTCCTGTACTTTTCCAGGTTTGATGGTCTAACATAATCTTCCAATATAAGAACAAATTTGCTGTCCTTATAAACGAATTCAGCAAACAAATGAGTCAAACATCAAATAAATTCAAGCTTGAATCTCAGATCCTTGTTAATCTCCTCTGCAGCTCTTTAAATGTCAAAGTTAAGGCTAAATTATCGTTTCAAACAGGTCCACAAATAAATTCTGCCAAGCCTTTTTTTTCCTTTTTTCTTATATAAAGTGAGCAAAGTGGGGGAGAAAAATCTGAATAAGGGTTGTGATCATTTTCCTTATTGTTGCCCTGTCATCACCATACAAAGCCTGAGAGTGAGAGAGTGCAGGCGAGGCCGAGCAGAGGGTTATTTAAAGGAGACCTAAGGATGTCCTCTCTAATGGATGATGCACTTTACTCACCAGTACACAATACTGTACACTGCTATTTAAATTCAAATTACGCCATTGGAGCTGCAGTCCGTGTGCTAGTGTGTGCGTAGAAGTGAGCGTGTCGGGGGAGGGCCGGGTAAGTCTTCTTTGTGGTGTTTATTGCCAACAATGAGGTTGAACCCCTCTTAAAATGTGAGACAAAGGCAAAAAGGTGCTGAGGGGCAGGAAATAGCTTACCCCCTCCAACCCCCCCTCCCTCATTTCCTTCAGCACACACACACACACACACACACACACATGCACACAACCCTTGATGTACGCATGCTAATTATGTTAGGCCCATAGATGCAGCGCACCGATTGTGAAACCGCAGCAGTCTTCAAACCATAAATAGATTGATTTATAATAAAAACCCAATGTCGGTGTCAGCTAGGGTGAATGCTTCAATTGAAACATCCATTTATTTCTCATTGAGTGTGTTTGTGGGCTGTTTTTACTTAGTTGATTTGTGTGTAAATTAGACACTTTAAGTTTTTGTTGATTTTGGTGCCCACCATCACGTCCTGTACATGGATAAGTTGTGTTTTGTTTTTAACTCAAAATCTTATCCCCTTTTCTTTTTGGGGCAAATCAAAAATTGTTGCCATGGAGAATAAAGAAAAACATAAACTTCTTCTGCTATGTTTGACATCAAATCTGCAGCAGCAGTTTTAGTCATCAAAAATTACCAGATTGAATAAATAAATCTTGTCCCCTTTGGTCTCTTTTGTTTTTGTAGCTCTTAAGAGTAATCAATATCAATTTCTATTTGTTTTGAAACAAGCTAAAAACTCCTCACAGGAGCTTTGAGCGAAACCACACTTACCGGTAGGAAAGTCTACAACAGTGTAAAGCAGGGTATTGATGGTCACATGCATTCAATGAAATCCATTATAGTAAAAGACATAATTTTATTGAGTCATTAACCACCAAATGGGTTTGAATTTTATATTTAATGGCTTGGAGGTCTTGTTCTTAGATCTGGGATCATTGGATTAGAAAGAACTGCAAAGATTAGTGTTGTGATTTATGTTAGATGCTTAAGTTATTAACACTGAGATGTATGTCGGAGATCTAGAGGCTTAGAAACACAGCTGTGAAGACCTGCTGCATTTCCCAGAGAAAGTGAAACTCAAACTGTCATCTTATCAATCATCAAACTCATCATTTCTTTGTATTTTGGTTTGGAAATCAGTGAATGACCACCAGTGTTGTAGGACTGGAGTCAGACTTGAGTCCTCCCCAAGTCCTGAGTTTAAGGACTTTGACCGCACTTGGACTCCAATCCTGATGAGTGAAACTTGGATTAACTGCATCCAGACTCAAGAGGTTGGAGAAAACCTCAGATTTATTTATTATGAGAGACTGTGGCTGAAGTTTTTCCTCCAAAGATTTTCAAACAAAGGCAAACGAGAGCAGTGGATATACTACATGTGAAAGAGCTATCGAGGACAAGAAAAAGAAGAAGAAGAAGAAGATGGGGGAGACTTCAAACTTTATCTTAACATCCCTCTGCTTGAGGGTGGTTGCAAGAGCCAAAGCGACCCAAATAACATCCAGGTCTAAATGCCCATTTTATAGTAAGATTACAACCTAGTGTAAAAATAGTCTTGGTCGAAACAAATAATTTTTGTTCTACACCAAGAGTCATGCATAGATTTACAGTTTGAGGTAAAACCAAGTTTCAAGTTGGCACAATGCAGCTGTTTGCAAGGAGACATACTACAAATATGGCGATTACTGTAATCTGGCTTGATAATACTCCTTCAGAACGGATATCACAGGGACTACATCTTGGACAAAGATAAAAAATGTGCACTGATTATACACAATAAGACAAAACAGACCACATAAAGTCCATTGACTGAGAAATACAACCTGAGAAGGTTGAAAACTAATACTCAAGTCATAAAAAGTTTGGGTTTCAGGGATACGTTTCCAAGACAGCGATATGGCCCCCACTCTGAGGAGGTCAGACTCACTAGATCCTTCTCCGCTTTTGAAACCCCCCCAAAAAACATAATGAGCTTTTACCGATTGAAGTTTAACCTTTTTTTAGTTTTAAAGGCACAGTAAGGAGTTCTTAACCGGTTGAGAAGCAGACTAAAACCGATACTGATGTCTTTTTATAATCTTCAAAAGCGAACAAGGTCATTGGCAGTATGGCAGAATTTTATTCAATAGTGATTTTTGGTGCAGCTGTGAGGGGGTAGCAGGCTGCAGGCTGAAGAAACAGCTTTATTTGAGCTCTTCTGTGGAAAATATTCACACTAAATGACCCTCCATGTTTTTCTCTCCTCTCTCTGCAGGGACAGAAACTAATGCAGGTTTTTATTTCCTGCAGTTTAAAGTTTGACCAAACTTTCCCCGCACCAGCGTCTCCTCTGCAGCAGGCAGGAGATTATCAGTGTGTAGTGGTGGTGAGCCTGGTGAGCTCCTAATGATAGCTCTGCCCTTCACCACAGACTAAATCAAGGCTTGCTGGGTAAACCGACTCTGTGTGACCACTTAACCCCTGTCTGCCCTCCTGCTGCTGACACTATATTAAAAAATCTATATTTTTATACAAATGTGACGGGACCATGTATCAAGTCAACCTGCTCTGCAGCTGCTTCACATGACTCAGAGAGATCTTACAGAGTTTAAAGGGTCTTCTTTCTTTCTCTTTCTTTCTTTCTTTCTTTCTCTGTTTGTCCTTTTCTTCTTTCTTTCTTTTTCGTTCTTTTGTTTTTTCTTTCTTTCTTTATCTTTCTGCCTTTCTTAGTCTTCTTTCTGTCTTTCTTCCTCCCCATCTTTCTTTCTGTCCTTCTTTCTTTTTCATTCTTTCTTTTTTTCCTTCCTTTGTCTTTCTGTTTTTCTTTCTTTCTTCTTTGTCAATTTTTTCTTGGTCTTTTTTTCTTTACTCTCTGTTTTTGTTTTTCTTCGTCTTCTTTCCTTCTGTCTTTTTGCCTTTCTTTCTTTCCTTCTTTCTTTTTTGTCTTTCTCACTGTTTTTCTTTGTCTTTCTTTCCGTTCTTCTTTCCTCCTTTCTTTTTTCTTTGTTTTTTTTCTTCATCTTTCTATCTTATTTCCATATTCTTTCTTTCTTTGTCCCTTTTCCTTTTTGTTCATTCCTTTGTTTTTCTTTCTTTCTCCTTTGTCTGTCTGTTTTTCCTTTTTTTCTTTCTCTCTTTTTCTTTCCTTCATCTTCTCTCTGTTCTTCTTTCTTTCCTTCTTTCCTTCTTTTTATTTCCTCCTTTCTTTCTTTCTTTCTGTTTTTCTTTTTCGTCTTTCTTTCTTCCTTTGTTTTCCTTTTTTTGTTTTTCTTTTTTCTTTCTTTTTGTCTTTGTCTTTCTTTTTTTCTGTTTTACTTTATTTCTTTTTTCTTTCTCTCTTCCAGGTTGTCACTTTCAGCCCACCGTGTCATTCCTGTGCTCCTTTCATTATTTTTTCATACATCACTTAAATACAGAAAAATCATTCAGAAATTTTTCTATCACTTTCCTCACTCATCATCCTTGGATCCTGTCAGTCAAGAATACAGAGATTTGCCCTAAAAAAAGTCTGCGGTTCCATCGAGATTACCCTCTGAGTGTTTTGAAACATCTATCTATGATGACTGGAGACGCACATAACTGCAGGGCCTCAATTTGTCTTCATAATGTGCAACTGTCAGCACTTCACAACCCTGTAAAAGAGACACCAAAGAGGTTTGCCCCTTAACTCCCCCAGCTTTGGGAGAGGTATTAGCACAGGCTGTGGAATGGAGAGGGTGTTTGTGTGTGTGTGTGTGTGTGCGTGTGCGTGTGTGTGTGTGTGTGCATGTGACGCCTCAGGGCTCCAGGTGTGTTCACCTGTCTGCCATTCACTTCCCTTCAAGGAGAACGAAGCGGAGGCAAGGCACTCAAGATGTCCAAAGATCAAGTTACACCTCTCTCCCTCTCTGTTTCTGTTTCTCATCATTCAAACAAACACACGCACACGTGTGCGCACACATACACACAGACACACACACACACAACAGTGCATAGAAGTATGCAGGAGGTCCATGATCCATGAAATGGGGAGTAAGGGCTCGAGGCCAGTGTGAAAGCTGTAGAGAAGAAGGAGCGGCGTGATTGATGGCGAGGATCAGGAAGCGGTGCAGGTTGGGTTACAGGTGGGACGGGGGCAGAGGCGAAGGCGGGGGAACATGCAGGTATGTGTGCGCATGATTCAAGCAGATAGAGGACAAGATACACCAAGAACAAAAATGATATGTGACTAAAGAGATGCTTTTATGTTGAGATTGTCTCGTCAATGTTAAGAGCTGGAGTGGATAAAAAAAGGGGGACGAGGAGGTGGAGGACCAGAGCCCACACATGACTGGACGTGAGCCAACTTTGGCCTTGGAGGTTGAAGTCTTTCATGGATGGAGGATGACAGATGTGATGGTAACACAGAGCTGGATTTGAATCCTGCCCTGCTAAGTTTGCATTTACAACCTCAGCTCCAAAAAGGTTGAGACACTGTGTGAAATGTTAATGAAAACAAAATCTGATGGTTTGCAAATTAATAAAAACCTTCAGTTTGAAACACTGTCTGAATAGAAATACTGTTTTTCAGCAGAGGGACCAGGCTGACTGGCATCTCCTGTGGCTACAATTCTTACTGTTGACAAGTACCTCATACAACCCCACTTCAAAATAACAGATGGTTTTCTTCACAACACACTGTAAAACCAAGAAACTGACGAGACCAGTGGAGTTTCTGGAGTTTTGAGAGTGAAATGTTATCCAGTCTTGTCTGATAAAGGAATTCAGTTGCTCAAACAGTCCTTTGTTGTATTTTTCTTTTCACCAAATATTTACAATGTGTGACAAGTCAGACCAAGTGAGAGCCCAGCACTTCTACAACTTTTATCCATGCTGTTGTGAGATTTGCAGAATGTGGTCTGGCATTATCTTGCTGGAGCGTGCAAGGATCTCCTGGATGTCTCCAAATCTCACATGTGTTATTGGCGTTTATGGTGTCCTCCCAGATGTGTAAGATGCCCACGCAGGCGGACACTTATGCACCCCCATACCATCACAGATGCTGGCTTTAGAAGTGTTTCCTGGGAGCAACCCCGGTGGTCTTCCCCCTCTAAAGAGCAGAGGACAGGTCAAAGAAAAATAAAGTCACATTTACGTGAGTAAGACCATGAAACACTTTTCTACCCTGCCTCTACCAACTCAACTGACTCAGACCCAGAGTATTTACGGTTTCTGCTTTTGCATGATACAAATTTTACTTGTACTTTTGAATCCAGCAACAAACTGACCTCACAGAAAATAGAAATGATTTGATTAATTTTGAGCATATAATAATAATAATAATAATAATAATAATAATAATAATAATAATAATAATAATAATAATAATTTTATTTGTATAGCACTTTTAAAAAAACAGAGGTTTAAAGAGTGCTTTAAACAATAGTCTCAAAGCACAAGATCTTCAGCATAAAGAAATGAAAACAAAAAGCACAGTTCAAACCAAGGCCTACAAATTCAAAGGCTATTTTCATATGTCATAGGAAACCCAGACAATACAAGAACCATGCAACATAAAATAAGACCATGAGGAGAAAGAAAATGCAACATAAAAGGGTGTTGAAAGCAGAAAACAGGATAGCAAATATAAACAGACATTATCAATAATGATAATAAAATAAAATAATATAATAGCCCATGCAGTGATATCCACTACAGAGCAATTTTTCACTGTTTATGTGAGAGATTTCTCCGGACTCTCTTCTTTTAATAATATTAAGTACAGCTGATGAAATAATCTATTTATTCAAGCAGAGCAATAATATCTGGAAACCGTTGCAATATTTACTCACACAGTCTCTCACAGAATATTATAAAATGATGAAAAAAATCATGTTTTAATATTTTGAGGATTAATTTTATGCTTTTTTTTCTAAAATGAGGTTTAAATGATATGAGAACCATCTTAATTCTGTTTTTATCAACATTGTTCGCAGCATTCCTACATTTCTTTTTTATTGGGGTTGTAATTCTCCAAAAGTTGGAGCAGAAATCTTCTTATATGCTCTTGCTCACGCTGTTGAACAGTGTGGTTTTAACTTATTTAGCAGCAGAGTTTAGCCCGGATAATCTGATTTCTCCTCCAAAGTTACTTTTGCTGTGTGATGAAACTGCAGCAATCAAAGTCCAAACAATCGCCTTTAAATCAAGTTCCCTGTGGTAGTTAAAAATTGTCGGCTCTTACAATCACATCAACAAGGCAACAAGGATCAAAGAAAAAATAGGAAAATCAAATAACAAAAGGAGGGAGGAGCTGGTGGGGGAGGAGGGGGATCTCGTGTATATGTGACCTTAGTATAAACATTGCATTTTCCAAGACCGCAATTTCCTGTTTTCCCAGGCGATTAGAGGGAAATGTAAGCCTGGAGGAGTCATGGCACGGTCATGCTTCCTCCTTCACTTTCAAGAGAGCTGAGGAGGGTCCGACTGCTCTGAGCTCTGGCGAGAAGACATTTACATATGTGTGTTTCTGCTGAGTACATCATGAGCACATTGTTTCACTTAACTCCCTCCACGTGTTGTAGAGAGTGTGTGTATATGTGTGTGTGTGTGTGTGTGTGTAAGAGTGTGGCTGCTGGAGAGCTCAACAGGCCTCTGTGCTGCTGTTCTTGCAAGCTTTCATCATGTCACACAAGAATTTCTAGCATTTCTCATGAACCCATTTCAATAACCTGCTGATTTACACGCATTAACCCTGAAAACCCTGAAAAAACCCTGAAATTTTCGACGGCTCGGCCAATGTCTTTGACATGGATGGTAGAGGAGGACTGACATGAAAGTTGAAACTCTCAAAATAAAAAATAAATATTCAGCAAACCACAGGACGTTGATTAACGTGGGCGCTCTTCAATCTTCCTGTCTCCAGTGGGTTGGGCGAATCCAAAATGGTGAAAACAAGGAAGGGGGGTTCTGAGACAAGCTGTTACATGTGGAACTGGGGGTGCTCTGAAAACACCCCCATTAGCACTTGGTACGTTCCTCCTGATGAAATTAATCATAAACTGTAAATTGATGTGGAAAAAGTCGTGTTGAACAGAGAGGAGCCGTCCACCACCATTGGCCCTTTGGCCCTTTGGTCCACCAAGGTGTTGTGAAGTGGGTGATCCATGTTCTTTAGAATAGTCTCCACCTTCCTTAATGTAGATCTCCTCACCACATCCTCCACTGAGTCCAGCTTGAGTCCAACCACAGAGCCAGCCTTTTTCACCAGTTTGTTCAGACGTCTTGCATCTTTGTGTTTGGGTCATTAAAGGGGAAAAAAAAGCTTTAAATTCAAAATCACAGACTGATCAGCTGGACAGAGTCTCACTGACATCACCCATTTCTAAAAAAAGAGGGTACTAAGCCAAGTGATGGTGGCTGCTGTGTTAGAAATGCTGGCCAGGAAAACTCCTTACTGTAGCTTTATACTAGGATGACCATATTCTGAATCCCCAAAAAGAGGACATGACTATGTATCCTGGGTGGAGTCATGGAGTTGCACAAAGTTAATTTTGAGAGTTTTTCGGGTTGGATCGAGTGTCTTTTACGTGCTTCTAACTCAGGAAGTCCATGTGACACAAACTCGAAACTTCCATTCAAAACCCCCGACATTTTAAGTATTTTATGAACTTCCCCGGATAAGACTGAACATCCTCGACAGCCCCCCCAAAAAGAGGACATGTCTGGGTAAAAGAGGACATACGGTCACCCTACTTTATACTGTAGCTAACTCTATCTAGTATAAAGCTGCACCAACACCCTTAAAAACACAAATCTTTTCCATCCATTTTAAGGAAAATTTTATCTCTCCTACTGAAGTGATTAATATGTCTTTTTATTAAGATGACAACTGTCATCTGCATATGGCACCAGCTGATCACTGTTTCTTAGTCATGTGCTTTTTAGTGAGAGTGCACAGATTGCAAGATTGCAAGGCCTTGTCAGGTTTATTACACAGTTTATTGGGTCGTGCTGAACCAAATGTAAGTCGTATCATCACATGAAATGTCTTGGAGTCTTTTTTTTCCCTAGAAGTGTATAAAGTGTATCAATAATAATGACAACAATTAAAAGTTACTGGATTTTTTATTGGCTGCCGGTGGGACAACAAATAATCAAAGAGGATCCTTTGTGCGTGTTTTTCCAGTAAGAGCAGAATCATCCGTTGCTCCCCTTTCAGATCAACAGTTTGACTTGAATCACGTATAATCTGGCATTGTGTAAAAACTTGTTGCTTTTCTTCTCCATTCAAACAGAACTAAAAGCGTCTTTCACCACGTAGGCGACATCTGGCATCCTCACAATGTCCACACCTGACACTGTGGGATAACCTGACAAGCGGAGATGACTCAGTAAGCCCTGACTAAGCGTGTGGTTTCTATCTGCCAGTGTGTCACTCCTCTTTACTTCCAGTCTTCTCAGAAGCCACAATATGCTGTCAGAGGAACACAATGAGACGTCAGAGGAGGAAACTTTAGTCACTAAGTGTGCTGGATGAGTATTTTCTGATCCAATTAGCAGTAATAAGTCACTTCTTGGTAAAGACGCGCTTTCTCCGTCTACTTTTTGATATCAGCATTTCTCACCCAGATAAAAGGACATTTGAAAGTCCTCAGAGATGCTTTTATCTGATCGGAGCCTTTATTGGAGTTTCTCTGCTGCCTCCTCCTCTCTTTCTACCCTTCTTTATCTCCGTCGTTTCATCTTTCTCCCTCTCTCTCTCTCTATCTCCTCTTCTCTTACACTTCAGTATGCTCTTCTCCGTGTGAAACTGCTCCTTTTCATCCAACGATCATGTCTTTCTACGGTCTATGTCTTAGTTTATCTCTGACACATTCTCTGCTTTCTACTCTTCTGTCTCAGACTTTTAAAAACCTTGAAAGAAAAAAGTGAAAGTGGAGCTGCAAGGGTGCCTGGAAAGAGTGTGCCATGTTGCCCCCTTTCACCTCCTTCTCCCCTTTCTTTGTCTCTTTCCTCCCCCTCTTATCCCCGCACTGCCTCTGTGTTTATTGCCACTGGTGTGTGTGAGTGTCTGTGCGCCTGCATGTGTGCGTGAGTGTCTTTTTGTGTGCGTGTGTGTGTCCATGCACAAGGGAAAGAAACCCCGAAAGTTGGCCCCATGACAAGTGACCCCCTTCTTCTCCCCAAACTCCCCCGTAGCAGAAACCATCAAGAAAAGCAGACAGGGGGCTGCACATGGAATAAAAGAGAGGAGAAAAAAAAAGAGACGAAGAACAGAGCAAAGAAAGAAGGAGAGAGCAGGGAAGGAGGGCAAGCCCAGCTGTAAGCAGCACAATGCGAACGAGAGCTTGGCAGAGGCTCAAAGCTGCTCCGAACGAGTGCCTCCAACTAACCCCCTCCACCCCTCCCTAACAAATTAAAAGCGTTTGGTGCTGTAAAGCATGGGAGGAAAAGACGGAGGGAGGAAAAAGGAGGAGAAAGGAGAGATCGGAGGGGGGGCAAAGGGTGGAGATGGGATAGGGAGAGGGGACACGGGGAGGATTAGGAATTAATGCGTTTCTGCACCGGCTTAATCCTAATGATTACACCAAAATAAATACAACTCGGGTGTATTTTTTGAGTTTCTATTTGATGTTGCTGACAGATGCCGGGGGGCAAAGGTTGTAAGGTCTCCAATTTAAAGGACCCCTCTTTTTTTTTTTCTTCAAACACGTGCCAAAAAGTGTTCCTAATTATGTCATTGTGACAATAGAGTATGACTAGAAAGGGAAATCAGGAGCGCAGGAATGAAAGAGCAGAGTAAGAGGAGAAAGGTGTGTGCCTGTGGCTTTTGTGTAGGATACAAAAAAGAGTAGGCAAATCAAGATCAACTGATATCAGTGAATCACAGTTTGGATACTTCACACTCACACACACACCCACGGTCAAACACATACAGACTTGCACACACATCCAAGCGCACACCTACAAGAGTCACGTCGATCTGCTCGCACAGGAGGGAGCCTCCAGTGAAATGAACCGCAGATGAACCGAAACGCTACCCTGTGGAACTCCACCTGACATCAGCGCTCCCATCTTCAAACCCTGTAGCCATAAAACATGCGAACATACCGTATTCGCAGAGGAAGACATTGATCTTGTTAATGGCATTCCACATTTGGAGCTCATCCTTGGCTGTCGATAGTTAGACCTCCTTCACAAAACACATGTGGGCTCACATCTGTGTGGCATCTTTCTCTGATCCTCTGCTGCACTTTCACTGTCCTGTGGAAGCAGCTGTGAGGACTCTGGGCGTGAGTCTGTAAGAAATAAAACAACAAAGAATAACATAGATGAATCAGGGCTGGAATAGGGAAAAAAAAGGTACAATGTAAATGAAAAGACAGGGTCTGGACAGGATGAGAAAGACCCTCACTTGAACTCTAAGATCCAAACAAGTTGACACGAAATTCTCCTGATTGAAAAAGATGTATGTAAACGAGCAGACAGAAGTGTTAAACCAGCTCCTGTAAACATCTGATGGAGTTTTACAAGCAAACCAGGACAGATTCCAACAACTCTTTAGAGAGGTTTAACTATTTCAGACTGGAAAATGATTCATGATTTTGTGTCATCCCACATTTACTTTTATGAGGCAGATTTCCTCTGTGTATACATTAAAGTCAGGACCTCTGGTCAAGTATTCGAGCCAAGATATTAATTTGGCTTATTTTTCAAAGCTCCCCGCTGTTTCCCATGTTTGACTTGTTAAACACACTCAAATGGGATTATCTTGGCTTTTAAACTTGATTTCTTTCAATGATACAGTAAATCATTTGGTTTTGGAAATGTCAATGATCGACGGCCAGGAATTGAAGCATAGGGTGCTCTACTGGGAGAGAGTTAAGGTGCAGCTAGCAAAAAAACTGGACTTTTAAAAAAGTATGTTAGTCCAACTGAAATCACAGTAAATCAAATTGGACTAACATACCATGGTAGTGCAGTAAGGGATCAATTTTCTCTTCCTTACATGCAAATCAATCTGACTTGTGTTAACTGAGCTTTGAGTTGGCTCATTTTGAGTGTTAACTTGCAGAAAACTGATAATGATCTCGGCTTTCGTAATACGGTCCCTGGACTGTGCATATGTAATACTTTCACCCGACTTCTGACCTCGCCATTACATGTCACAATCACCCATCTTCTTACATTAGTGGCAGAGGCTGCTGCAAGACATGGGATCAAACCCCCAACCTTCCTAGAAACAGTTCACTATTCCACTGACTTCTCGAACTTTGAGCTGCACTCACTAACTCTGCTCTTTTATCAAAAATATCCTCCAGAAGTCAGGGAATCAAACACTTTTACCACAGTGTCAACCGGCTCTTTTCTTTGCCTTGATTTGTATTCGTATTTTGTTACGGTATTTGTTATGGTATTGTTATGTTATGTTACTTTGTCAGAATGTAGAAGCTAATCCATGCTTTAAGCTACTGAGGCATTTCAAACAGGAACCTCTCTTGACGCGCTGTAACTTTACCTTGCGGATGAATGAGAGTCTAGCTGATTGTTGTTTAAGATGCAAATAAGTCAATTTATTTGACATCTGATTCTCATTCTCACACAAACATTTCAAACATGCTTCCCCGTCAGCGTCAGCGGTCAAAAACTGTTTCCCTCGTTCCGGTAGGAAACACCTGACGAGCCCCCAAAGGTTCCCACCCTTTATAGGCTGACCCGTCACAGTTATGACACACAACAATTTACCGTAAATCTGCTCTTACACACAATTTAGTATATAAGACAGATTGTTAAGAAGCTTATTCGACTGATTGGAAGTTGCCTTTTTTGTGAGCTGTTTTTCAACATCTTTGTGGCCTTTGTAGAAACTGTAGAATCCACTTTTTTTTTCCACAGGAACATCAATCGTGCGTCTCATTTCAAGCTTTCATTTTGTAGATTTGTGAGTAAAAATTCTCAGTTCTCCTGTTCCATTTTATGTGGTTTATTCACAGCATTGTAAATTTATTGTAATGCTTTTTACAGAACTTTACAGAAATGGTCTCTACATTTATAAAAAGTGTTATTGAAGCATTAGTTTTGTGTGTTTTAGCTTCATCGGACAACTTTTGATTATTAAAACTGGCTTTACTTGATTGGTTGTGAACTGGTTTAAACTTGCTGAATCTGCCAGAGTAGATTTCCAGTGATCACACGGCTGGAGCTGAGAGTGCTGCATCAGGAGGTTGTTCAGCAGTGTTACCTTGAAAGGGCTCAGCATGTCTGGATTTTCTAGGAATTGAAAATAGGCCACTGGAACACGACGTCCGCCCCTCAAACGTCTGAGAAAGAGGCCCAACTCCTCCCAGCCCTTCCCTCTCCTCCTGCCCTTCTTTTTCTTTTCTTTTTTTTTTACCGCTGTGTGAAAGGGAATACCCTGCCCTCGCTAGACGGCCCCACATTCCTCCATTACAGATGACAAGCCACCCCCCCCAGCTACTCCCCCTTGACCCTCCTCTGAAAACTCTGCAACCCTAAAACCAGGTCTGCCGACTCTGCAGCCTGCTGTTTCAGATGCCTCGGGTTTCACCACAGGAAAATCCAACTTTGGCAAGGCTTCAAATTCGACCCCCATCCCTCAAAGTCTGCACACAAGTGTACACCTGATTGCCTTTCTTTTCTGTCCCTCTTCCCTCGTTGAAATCCTTCCAAAATCCATCAGAGGTGCAGTGATTGATGGCAGTGAGTGTCCATCTCCAATTGCTCCAATTAGGTCAGCAGCTCCAGTGAGGCGCAGCAACTCTCCATCACTCCTGTCGACCCCTTTTTTTTTCCTTTCCCAGACCAGGTGGTGCATGGTGTTTGGTTTAGCGGACTTTCTGTGTTTTGTCTGCAGCATTTTGGCACATTTCGACTTCTTAACACGATGTGGGCGGGCACATGCAGTGCCAGCAGGGAGTTAAGGATCTACGGTCCAATCAATCAACATTGTCATGTTTAGTCTGTTCTTGTCTGTCACTACAGGAGGGCTGTCTGCTACCGTTCTGGAGAGCAACACTCACAACAGATCTTTCGGGTGTCTGTGGAGAATTCTGGAAAAAGTTACTGCGAGATTAACGACGTAATTGACTCCACTCAGATGGTGACAGAGGAGAGAAAGATGTGTGTGCGTTCAGATTTCAGACTGCCCGTGCATAAAACCGTCATTTACATATGTGCAGCACGACTGTGGTTGTAAATAACCGTTAATCTCCTGGGACATTTAATGTTTGTTTCATCAGCTCGTTCACAATCACAAATCAACGCAACTTGCAGAACAACGTGAAGTCACTTCCCAAATAAATCAATGAATGATTTAATGGAAGAAGAGAATAAATGAAAAGGGAGGTGATTTAATCGCATAATTGTGATGGGTGCTCTGGGATTTGTGCGACTCTTTTATGATCACAGTGAAGTTTGAAAATAAAACTTTGTCGAAGATGAAGAAGTTTTTTGTGGGATCTTTATAGTATGAGTGTAAGTTTTTATACTTTTTATGTGTAGCTCGTCAAATACAGCAGCTTGGTTGGTTGGAGGCCATAAGCTTTACAATGTGTAAACTGTAGCAGGGCTCCAGGGTCATGTGAGCAAAAATAATAAGCTTTAGAGAAACATTAGAGAAAATAATGGTGGGTTTGGTTTTGTATCAGGACCAGGCAACTCAGTGTGTTTGCAGTCTTGGCAGTATCAACCAATCATATGCCATCGGGCTTTGGTGTGCGCAGGAAAAACTTGTTGTATAGAAAGTAAAAGACAACAGAGTGTTTGTGATCATTTTACATTTGAGAAGTGGACTGAAATTCACAATGACGCTTTCTTATGATATCCAAAAATACACAAGACCTTCAGGGACAAGATTGATGATTTTAATACCCTAATTTTTAATGTCCAAACCAGTGTGAGGACCGAGGGGGTGAAGACACAAATACAATTTGCATGTCAATATTCACAAGACATACTACATTTGACTTTCAAAAGTCACTAAGATGGGATTTTTATATAAAAAAAAAAAAATACATGTAAAGGACAAGATAAGCAAGGACTGTTTTGTCCACAGGGGGCACCACACTGACCCAAACTGAACTGACCCAGCTTAAAGCAACAAATTCAATTCAAAATCAAAACTCAACAAACATTCAAAAGTAGTTTTCTTCCTCTGTTGACTTGACAAAGTTTGAGTTTTTACTTCCCTACACACACTTGCATCATAAAGTTGTTTTTAGCAAGTTTAAATTTTAGAGAAATACTCCGGCGTGAAATTAATTTAGGGTCAAGCAACACCAAGTTAGACACCCCCTCGAGAGATGAATGTTGCCGACCACTTGCTTCTCTAGTTATACCAACTTTAGTAATGACCACAGGATAGCAATACACAGCGGTCTGAGGAGCCAGCACAAACCTCAACCAAAAAGCCACTATGGCCACAGATAAAACTCAGAACAGCACCTAACATCATCAACAGTACAAACAGGGTCTCAGCCACAGCACTAGCCACCAAACATCTTTTTCACTTTGCCTAATTTCTTTAGCAAAGAGACTAAACACAACTCACCTACTCTCTTCCAGCAGCCGCTTGTTTGTAGCGAGACCTCGGGCCAATCCATTACGGAGGACAGCAGGGTGACGCAGCTCAAGGAAGAACATTTATGAGCATTTCTCTATGTAAATGCAATCAGACCGAGACACTAAGGCAGAACCTAAATAACCCTAAATGAATTTTACGCCGGAATATCCCTTTGAGTAAATCACTAGAACTATGTAACTGAGTGACAAATAATAAGTTGTTGTGTTTCATATTTCAACTTGTCAAAGTGACTCATGCTCTGTATTTGCTGCATGATTGTAATGATGGTATAAAAGCATTTAAAATCTCCAATTCACTCGTTAAGAGAGAAGCAGCATCTCCAGTTATGTATTCAAACCTCATTCATAAACCTTGACCACATATCAATCCTCTTAATCTCCCATCATCCTCTTCTCTCTCTCTCTCTCTCTCCTGTATACATTGAAATTAGTGAAATAAAAAAAATGCAATAAAATTCCTTATCCATCTCTTGCACTATAAGGACTGAAACAAGCAGGTCGCCTGAGGACACATCCATTCATTAAGCCACTCCACCCCAAAGGAGGAATTGGACCACGAGTTCCCGTGTGCATCACCATGTCACCTTGAACAAATCCAGATGATTAAGTGACAAGCACTCCCATATGAGGATAGTTTATTTCCCAGGAAACCACAATGCTTCCCCCAGTATCCAATTTTGGGAATGTGAATCTTAAAAATCCACGGCGAAGGGGGGTAAAAGCCTCCTTCTCTGTCTCCTTCTCCCCTTTCCTTAAGTCTCCCTCTCCATTTTCTTTCCCCATGCCATGTAAGCAGTACTAATTGCCTTTCATAATTAGCACGGTGACAATATTGTTGAACTGATAAAGCTGAGTGCTGTGTGTGTGTGGAGTTCTGATAAAGTGGGTCATCAATGAAATGCCCCATATTTAGATCACACAAGGACGATTCTCCTGCACTCATTTCCTGCAAGTTTTCACACTGCCTCTGCTCTTTTTACAGCGCATGAATGGAGAGCGAGGAAAGCAAGAAGGGGGAGGGAGTTTTTATTTTATTAGATGCATCCCACCAATGGAGCCGGTGCAACCTCACAGACAGATACCGGCATGTAAATTTGGGGGAAGCAAGACAAGGAAGAGTTTTAATTAGCCTGGTTAAGTAGGCGCTCGCGAAAGCCTGCCGGGGCTCACCGGGGGGATTACGACAGATTTATTTAGCCGAGGCTGCAGGAGACGCTGCGATATGATATATTCCAACAGCAACAATAGCTCTGTAATCACGCCGCAGCCCCAGAACCCTGGCTAATCTATTCCCGTGTCTCGAAAACGAGCACTCATTTTATTCCCTCTCATCTAGAAGTCAAGAGTTTTGTTTTTTCTTTTTTTTTTTTTCCTCTTCCTCCGCTCCCTCCTCCACCACCCTCTCTGGTGCGTTCAACCCTTGTGGGCAATTTGGCGAGGCACTCAGACATGCTAACACAATCAACAATCAGGTCGTTTGCTCTCTCTAATAGGCACTCTGGTTTTCAGTAAAAGAAGTCGTATTGTTTATTTGATTGTGTTCACCGGGGGAGAGTCCACTAGGGAAGTATTTGTTACACGTGGAAGGCGGAGGTGGGGTTTTTAGCAGTGAAGGATTGTCGCCTTTGTTTTGGAGGGACCACTACAGGAAGTCTGAACATGCAGACACAATACAAAACCACAAAAGTTACTGCAATATGGAACCCTGCATTCAGGGCTCGGGGTCATTTTGGGATGCCTGCGGTACACTTGTTGAGTGTGTTTACTTGAGAGGTACAAAACAGCTCAATTACTTTGTTAAACTGGGACTTAATAACCGCGATACAGCATTTTAAGGTATGAAAATCAAGGGTATTCTTGTGGCTTACAGAATCAAAATGTGACTCCCTTTCAGGCTCGACAGAGATGTTGACATCTTTGTGTTTTTCCTCTATCCAGAGATATTAAAAAAAAGCAAAAGCAAGAGAAGAAAACTACAAGTGAAATGTGGTGTTCCCCTGTGTTTGGGCCTCACCGCTGAAATCACAAATGGAGAGCTCAAAATCAAAGACGGACAAACTAGTTTGGATATAATCTAGTCGCAAAAGCAGCTCATGAGAGAATTTGACAGGCCTGTTGTTTGTCAAGTTTTTGACATGTTGTCACCTGTCCAAATTTACATCAAAGCCATCTGGGACCACACACACACACACTCACACACACACACACACACACACACACACACACACACACTCGCACAGTAGAGAGAGAGGAAGAGGTAGGTATACTCAGTAATTATTGACAACACATAACACCTGTTTCTATTCCGCATGGGTAGAGCTCTCAGGGAACCCAGATGAGACATGCTGTTTATCCCGAAATCATTTAGAAGCACAGCATGCACACACACACATAGACACACGCATGTGTACACACAACTTCTGGCAACCTACTGCATTCACAATGTGTGTGTCCCTGATTCTGTTCATGGTTCTACTTTTGGTTCTTTAACAAGAAATATGTTTATAACTAACCTGGAAAATAATTAAATCCAGCAGCAGAGGATTTGCAGCGGCAGGATCAGTGACAGTGTATCAGTAAGGAAACAAGGCCTTCCTCTCCTCCCTCTGTGACTTATTACTGAGATGTATTTATCGGTCGTCTGCAGGGGTGAAAGTAAGCCAGTATGCATTGGTACATGGAAGACATGAGCAGCAGTTTACAGCTGGTAGGCAGCGGTATGCAGAAACTTTCACCCCTGCAATCTATGTAGGCTACATTTGCTTACCGCGTTGCCACACATCAGTCTGCACTCTGCATTGTAACCGTAGTAATCCAATAGGACCATGCTGCTTGCGACTAAATCATATTTGCTTCCACAAACAAACAAACTCCAGAATTGGGAGTGTCGAAAGTTATTTTAGAGCTTGTTTTATATTCGGACAAAGCAAGCGCTGAAATAACTTTTGTAGATGTAGCTATCTTGTTTCCACCTCCGATTTTGCTTTCTTGGTAACTGAAACGCCTGGAACTCAGGTGTGATGTCATTTTCAGCTCTGACATCTGACTTCCGAGGTAACTCGAATGCAGCATAAGTAGTCCAATTTGACCACCTTTGTCAGCACCATAGTGGCAAAACTAGACAGAACACCATCCAGAGATGAAGATTTGCTTTTGTGTTTAAATTTTGGGACATTTTCAGGAACTTTGTGCACGTCTAAAATAAGGTTTAGGTTTTGTCTTCCCGATCCCTTATTGGCAGAGTTGGCTTTTGAATTCAGTTCAGTGTAAAATCAGTCAATGTAATTTAGGTTTTAACCCTCACATACTGTTCGGGTCAAATTTGACCCGTTTTGACTTTTAACAGCAGTAAAAATACCCTAAACATCATTTTTTAAGCCTGAAACTTGATGACTTTTCCTGAAGTTGCCCAAAATACATGAAATTAATTTAAAAATATTCACGTGTATTTTTGTTTATGTGCTACACATTTTTCCCCTCTAAGGCTGTTACGGGTCAAATTTGACCCGTATCTATATTTAGATGGATTTTAGATCTAGCAGTGTGGGACAAGTGACAAACAGTAACAACAGTGTTCAATATAAGGTTTGTTGTTCAAAAAGATATATTCAAATCATTATGAAACTATCATCACCTTGACAGAAACACACACACACAGACAAACAGTCACACAGACACACCTAGACAGAGGTCAAAATGACCTAACTAGTCAAGAGAACTTTCTGTGACAGAAAGCTGCTCTTTGAACTCTTTGAAGGGGCAATTTTGACTCGGAACATACTGTGAGGTTACAGGATTTGATCAGTATGTGAGGGTTTAAGGCTGTCCCTAAAATTGTCTAGTGTTCCTTTTCCTTTGTTTAACACACCCATTGGATGCACAACACACGAAAGGATTAGATTACACATTTTGTCCCCTGATGTTGACTGACAACAGAGTACTATAAAATTAACACACAACAAAGCACTGAAAAATCATTTGAGGTAATGTGTGTATACTTAGTCAGAAGCCACACTCACAAACACACACACACACAAGCACACAGACAGGGATAGCAGACCACAGCAAAGACCTGCTCCAGGGAGAGTCGAGAAGCTCTGCAGGCAGACCTCGCTCCCCTTCAAACAAGCCTCAAAGGAAAACATGAGCTTAAAGTAAACAGGAGGCAGACAGAGAGGGAGGAGGGCTACAAGACAACCGCACTTTAACTACACTGTGCGTGTCTGTCTTTCTGCAAATGTGTGTTAAGATCTGTCCACCTTAATCTTATTTTTTCCCCTGTATTGTTCTGAGTGATTGACTGCGTATAGGCAAATAAAGGTGCCTGTGCAAGTGCCTGCGTGCCTGCCTCCATATAGGCATGTTTGTGAGTGACTCAGCACACCGCAGGCCCACACACACACACACACACACACACACAATCGCACTCACACACCTCCCACATAGCCGATGACTGAGCGACTTTAATAGACTTTTGTGTTCAGCCAAGTATACAAATGAATGAAACACAGAAAGTTTCCTCATCGTGCTTTGTGGTTCAGCTGGTGTTTATGATGTCAGCATGAAAATGGGGCTGTGGACAGACCGTATCAGCACAGATGAGGGCTTTTTTTTCTCTTACTGTATCAAACAAAGTCAAAAATTCTCTCTAACAATCCTGCACAAACAGTTTCTATCATTTTAAGACTTTCCTTGAAGGATAAATTATCTACAGTCTCAACTTTCATGACCAAACTTTCTTTAACCGTTTTTATCTGCTTTCACACTGCCTGCAGTCTAAAGTTACCAAAATCACATATTCTGCTCAGATGTGACTCAAATCAGATTTTTCCTTGACTATTTCAACAGCACAAGTCACACAAAATCAGATCTTATTAAATCAGATTTGAGATAATTTCACATCAGGGATGTTCAAAGTGATTATTTTCAAGTAGTTTTAATGGATTCAAAAATTCGGAGTAAGAAAACACTCAGAAAACGGTCAGAATTGAACACTCTGTTACTGGTTTATCAGACAAGCAATTCTGCTTCCTGCTTGAGAGAGTCATAATGTTGAATATAGGCAACTAAGGCTGTTGCAGTATAGCAAGCATAGCAGTATACCAATATTGAATATTGGTATTGTGCGAAAAATAAGGAAACAGTAATACCCTGAGCTGATAATTTAGATCTGTCATGCTGGTTACCACACATCATAAATGGAGAAGAGACAAAGATGAAGCAGCAGATAAGTTATTTCTAAAACCTGAGGCAATCTACCAAAGTGTTTTAAACTAAAGCTTACTAACTGATTGAGCATTCATACTTTCCGGCCGTTCTTTTAACTGTTTTCATTCATTTTAGTTACTTACAATCTGCCTTGAGTAGCGTGTACTTCAAAATAAAAGCATAATTTTACAATGCAAAGTACCCGAAATGCTTTTATTTGGCTAAAATATCAAAATAAAAGCATGCCAAAGGTCCGTGTATTATCTGTCCATTTAATTATTCCATTCAATCTAGTAAACAAAAAAGAGTCAATATTTTGTTTATTTGTTTTTCT